CGTGATGACGTAGTTTTTCAGACACGAATCATTATTTATACAGGGTGTATCTGAATAACACCGAAAGAATTCAAGAATTCAATAAAGTTCATATAATGTGTCCTAACTTGCTCCTTTTTCGGGATACAGGATGTTGGAAGTATGATTTGATTTTTTTCATAACCGCCCTGTATAAGCGTTCATGGTGCCAAAATTCAGTATGGATGGAGACTAAGAAAGGCCCACAGAATGATTCTAATTGGGGTTATTGAGAAATCTCAATGGAAGTCTTGAAAACACATTCATTAAAATTTGGGAGTCAAATCGAATTTTTATTGTTTACTTAAAAATTAAGCTAGATACAAAAATCAGAGGATAAAAAAATTGTTATTTCAATAGTTCAATCTAATAAAAATATGAAACTCAGAAAAACCAGTGGTGTACAATGTTATTGGAAAGACAATTGAGAAATGAATAGAAAAAAGATTTTTCATTGAAATATTATAATACCCTGTATCTCGAAAACGAAGCAAGTTAGGACACATGTTTATATGAACTTTATTTCCTGAAATATCACAAGGAATCACCCCTTAAATTTTTTCGGTGTTATTCCGATACACCCCGTATATATTGATTGAATGAAAAAGAATGCCCGAATGACAATAAAATTCGACGGCTTCGAACGTTCTTTCAAATAATTATTCCTATAATTTTCAACGAATTCATTCAATACTTTACGGGGACACTTCATTCAACAGACGCACTGTATACAAAGCGTATGTGTAATATATTTTTGAATTCAGCTTTTCATGGAGATTCCAAAAATTGATAATATATTGGATGTTTCATTTTAACTATCACCTGAAATTATTTTCATATCTATAGGGTGTTCAAATTCCAAGATATCGGCTAATTATGAGTTTTTTTCAAATGGGACACCCTGTTTTCAATTGCATTTTCGAATGCACTACCAAAATTGATACACAACTGTTTTCTGTTCTCTATATTTGACTGAGAAAACCCCAAAATTTAAAAATGATTCGAATTGGGGTTATTGTGTTATCTCAATGGAAGTTTTGAAAACACCTACATTAAAATTTGAAGTAAAATCGAATTTTAATTGTTTCCTCAAAAACTAAGCTAGATACAAAAATACACAGAGGATGAAAAAGTTGTTATTTCAATAGTTCAATCTAATAAAAATATGAAACTCAGAAAAAGCGGTGGTGAACAATGACATTCACCATGAATATCGATGAATTTACCCACTGTGACGCCACTGGAAATATTACTCCGAATATAATTGCACTAGAAGAAGATCCATATTACTATTAATGAAACCACATCGTTTTATTGAAATTGAGACAAGACAATTGAGAAATGAATAGAAAAAAGATTTTTCGTGGAAATATTAATACCCTGTATATCTAAAACGAAGCAAGTTACGACTCATGTTTACATGAACTTTATTTCCTAAAATATCACAAGGAATCACCCCTTGATTTTTTCCGGTGTTATTCAGATACACCCTGTATATGGAGATATAACGAAGCAAAATACCAACCACGTGATGAATACCACCTTATTCATATACAAAAAAAACTTACCATCTTGAAAATATACAACTTTCACGCACTCAAACTAAAATGCAATCACTAAACCGATATGAATTTTAATTTTTCACTCGTGAATAATTCCGTGTTTTTTTTATATCACTTGTATCGACCGTTCGCGATGAAATCTATAACGAGACTGCTGATTGGTTTGATTCACAATCCTAATGACTAATAAGTTACGTCATCCTTTCAACCGATTAATTCCCGCACAAGTATGACTAAATCCGTTTATCGATAGTAGGTATACGGGGTGAGGTGAAAAGACATTTGATATACAGTGTCACCGTTGAAGTCCACATCATGGGATTTTTTATTATTCAGTTTGTGCAAATCAGGATTTCATGGACAGTTTTTACTTTGGAAATATTTCAAAAATTGAGTTCATAATTTTTTTTTCAATCGATAACTGCCGCATCAGACATTTTCTGTCAGAAAGTCAAAAATTGTATCTTTTGAATATAAACGATTTCAAAGTGGCACATAAATCCATTATTAGCTGAAAGAACATAGGGGAAATCCGAAAACTAAAAAAAAACTACCAAGAAGTCATCACACGAAGTTAGTTTATATTAGATTGCCATCTCAAGGACAGTAAATTGAAATAAAAAATCGACCTATTTTAGCCTATTTCGATTACGTTTTCATCAGTTTTCATCTTGGAAATAATGCGGTGAAATGAATTTAGTATACAGGGTCACCAACAATATGGGGTTATTCATGAACCGTTTCCATATGCTCCCGATCTCCTGAATAATTTATGAAAATGATGGAAAAAATATTTTCGATGTACAAAACAAAACTGAAACACCACAAGGTGAAAAATGAAAACCTGCAAAGTAGGTCTCTCGTTAGTAGACATCCTTTTTTCGACAATTATAAATTCAAAATCATATTCATATACTGTGGATCGTGTGTACACCCCTACTTCCATTTCTTTTTGATGTTCAATGGCTACAAAATTCTTTGCCTCGTATATCACCACCATATATACACGAAGAAAAATGTATTGTTGATTTCACGCATCATCCTTACACCTGCACTGAAAATGCTTGCTTGTACTATTCGCAGAAATGTTAAAAGTATTTCCTGTGGTAGAAGTAGAAAACAACAGTCATACCACAAATCATCCGACTCTCAGATACGCTCTCGCTAGGAATATATATTTTTAAATTTTATCCTTAAGTGATTTTCCAAAAAATAAACTTTCTAGAAAGAAGGTTCATTTAGGCAGAGGTTGGTTAGATCATTTAGAAAAAGTAGGTTCCTCTCTTAATGCCGCAAGTTTTCCTTCCATATATTTTAGATAGGTTCCTTCCATATATTTTAGATAGGTTAGATGCAGTGAGGATATTTCCCTTCACTTTATTATCTATACATTAGGCTGAGTTAGGTTAGATTTTTTCAGAAGAAGTAGTCTCCATTTTTACGCACAAAGGATATTTTCATTCCGTTTATATCTTCGATATCTAAAAAACAGCCACGGCAACAAAACGAAACCGAGCGATAAATCAAAGGGATATTCAATTATCATATAGGTGTGAAAGGCTAAAAATCAAATATCACCCGCGAACACATTCATTCAAATGCATTTGCATGTCATTCTGACTAACGGAAAAGGACGGAACTAATCGACTGAAGATTTAGCCCATGCTTGGCCTCATTATTTCAAATGAGACCACGTGGATCACGACCAGATACATGACAGACAATATTATACCTCTCCTACCAACTAGGTTTTCATTCGAAACAACAATGGTCAGGCATTGGGATTGATGAAATTGATCACAACAAAAATAGAAACATACTGTCTGTAGGCAGTATTTACAGGATTCATAATATATTAATTCATCTCTCTCGTCACGTATCACAGCTCCAACATATTCCGGGGACCTTGTAAAGTTCTGAGGCAACCTGTCCAGTCTAATAACCTCGTTAACCTATTATGCACCCCAATATAGGTCGCATGTACGATGACCGACCCTGGAGGTAAAATATTGAAACACAACCTCACTTCTCTGTAAAACATTGAAACACAACCTCACTTTTTTTATTTGCTTACAGAAGATTCGAAGGATTGAAATAGTTTTCCACAATATGGGTATGTTCCGTAAATAGACTTGGTTATGTCGGTTAGTAGTTTCCCGTTCCGTAAATATGAAATGTTCGGTTGGTTCCTGAAAAAAGGGTATTTACGGAACTCGGTTGCTGAAAAAGCGGTAGAATCTCTGTCACCAGAACGACCGTGGATTTTATCTGGTAAGTTCGGTGAATTGGAGTTGACGTTGACGTGTTTTAGTTTTCGGTTTGATTTTTCGATTTACAAATTATTAATTCATTATTGCGTTGAGTTCCGATGGATTCATTCACTGAAATAAATTAAGAATATTCGATATATTTTTAGTTTGATGACATTTTATTCTAATTTTTAGGACACTTATGCCTTGCTTGTGCTTACTGTGCACAAGAATTAGATACTTATGGTTTCCATAAATGAAAATCAAATACTGGCAGAGCATGAGTTTTTAAAAAAACGATCAAAACTATGATTTGGCAAATGACTGGCATTCCGCAATGAACACAATATTATATGGAGTTCATTGGCATTCCGTAAATAAGCCTCAAACGTAGTCACCAGTAGATAACCACTGTCAAAATTGTTGGTACCGACCCTGAAAGCATCGGTAACTTCGGTTGATTAACGGAACATACCCTATATGTTGGCATACGAATCGTGTTTTTTGGACTATTCACTAATTCAAGCATGTTTTTTCATTGTGCTGTTGTACAATGCACAAAAAATGCAGCGATAAACGAAGGAATATGATTCTTCAGGTAAATAGTAATCTCACATAGTTTTCATCATGAAATGTTGTCATTTCTTATTGAAATTCCTTCTGCCACTTCTGCAATAGAAGCTGATACTGCTAATAGATTGAAAATGTCTACAGCACACATGATCATATTTCGTCAGCATGTCAGTCCCAGTCCTTCCGTTTGATGGCATAAATCCAATCTTCTTGCATTCTTTTAGAAATTTTACGAGTATTTCTATTAGCTCCTATTGCAGAAGGAATTCCGATGAGAAATCAGAGAATTTTCTAAATTTCAAAATGAAAACTATATGTGAGTGACTATAGTAGGTACTTACTTTTAAATTATAATGTACCAACCGGATTCCTCCGTCTCTCGCTGCAATTTTTGTGTATTGTACAACAGCACAATGTGATGGCATGGGTGAATTAATGAATAGCCGAAAAACACGATTCGTATGCCAAAATAATTGTGAAAAACTATTTCAATCATTTGTAAACAAATAAGAAAAGTGAGGTTGTGTTTCAATGTTTGACCTCCAGGTTCGATCAACTGACAGTTCTTGCACGCAACCCATTACATTTATCTTGACAGGTACAATTTCGCGCCTTCCGAAGAAGAAAAGGCCCACGTGCTGTCGAGGTTCGACAACGATCTGACCGTACCGAAAAACTTCGTGAAAACGGCGGCGGCCTTCGACCCCGGCGCCCCCAAAACCAAACCGAAGCCCCCCGAGCCGGTGCTCAACCCCCAGACAGTCTTGTTCTGCGACAAGCTGGCCGTGGACGATCCGGTGTCGCAAGCCTCAGAAAACGATGGGACGCAGATGGACCAGAGCATAGCAAGGTTTTTTTTCTTATATTTTATTTTATCTCTTGGTTGATAAATAGCAGGAATGATCCTCTAGTCAGTCTAGTCCACGGAAATTATGTTAGGTTTTTTTACCAGGATATAGAACTCATCAAAATAGACAATATCACCAAAAAGTTCGCCGATAGAATTGGTCCTTTTATGCCTGGTATATTTATCATTTCGGGCGGTACAGACCGCACCACATATCCTCTTTGTTCTGTCAAATTTGTTTGCACCAAATTAACGTACATTCGCGGCGTTGGATGATTTATCAACGGAAATCTCACCGTGTTCAAACGAAATGTTGCTGCTGCACTTTGGCGACGCTCATCATGGATCAAAAGCATGTTAACAAGTTAATTTTCTTTACCTACGGCCAATATAGAAAGTAAGCAAGAACACACGAGATACAGCCTCAGTATGTAGTTCTTTACGCACAGTGAACACATCGCACAGTTTTCGTTCAATCCACCTGTCATGATCGCGTAATCGCCGTCGACAGCGGATGACATAACTGTCAAGAATTATAATTCAGACTGTTTGTCCAAACTTTTTTTATGTACTATATGGCAGTAGGTAAAGTATAGTGCATAATGCCTGTTGTAAAGCAATTACGCACTCATGAAATTACTTTTCCATTCGTAATATACTTCTCACAACACATATTAAGTAATATACAATAAACGAGCTACATTGTTGACAATACACAAAAAAAACAATTTCATTCGGTTAAACGCCTATAAGAGATTCGTGCAGTCAGAACCGTCATGAAATTCTTTTAAAATAATGTTTAATTGTGAAAAATCTCCGTTATTATGCATTTTTTATTGGGGTGATATTTGATGGATCTGCATATTTTAATGAATTTTACATCCTCCTAAAAAAATGCCTCACTTTTGAGCACATCCTGTATATTGGTGTTCTGATTACTTCTGAAGAGTCTTCGGAGAAGTAAGCAACGCCAGACAATTGGCCTCAATTCCAACGTCAAAAATCTCACTTCAAAGTGTTTTTTTGCAATTCTCTAGATTTCTATCAGTTTTAAATAAAAACTACTAACAATCAATTCAAATAAATAAATATGATTTTATCATTGTAGCACACAAAAGTGAATCCCTATACAATGTTCAAAAAGCATCAAGCGTACCTGGTAAGGATAGGGAGAGAAGGTAGGTATTGAAATTTCGTTCGAACTTTTGGGGAATATAAGTTCTTGATTGATTCTACACAAAAAGGTCCAATGACATTTTGTTTTAAGAGCAATGATAAATCACCGTGAACAATTATGTTTGAAATAGTACATTATACACCTAGGGACTAAAGTGTTTGGGATCACACGTTAAAAGGTAAGGCCCCCGTCATTCCTTGCTCGCACAAGTCTTTCGAAGACTTCTGAGGGTTGCTCGTAAGGGGGCAACCGAATGACGGATAGAACAATTTTAGAACAATTTTTTAAATCCCGAGACAAAAAGTTTATAGCCCGACCAACGGGATTCAAAAACACCTTAGTCCTGATGTATATATATACTACTGATGTATATATATACTATTTTATACAATTAAGAATAGGTAAAATATTGAACATATTTTGAACAAAAATTAAATGCCACTAAATAATACATACCGACTCTACTTCTAAAACTTCATAAAAAGGGCTTATCCTAACCTAACCTGACGTCAATAACTATGGTGATCCATATTTCGGGAAAAAAGTGGTACTTCAAATCTCTAAGTACCTTTCACTTTTTTTTTCGAAAATAGGGATTCAAAGGGTACTGAATATAAGTGCATAAACATTATTTGTCCTGATTTTTTTTATATTGAAACGTCAGAACGAAAAAATATCACAATAATGGGGAAGTTTCCTATATTGAGGTTCTCATCTCACTGTGAAGTTTGTAAAAAATTAATATATACGTATTTTTTCTTTTTTTCGTAAGATCAAATTTCACTTCAGAAAAAAATAAATAAAAGAGGAACTTGGCTCCTCCACCATTCCTATGACGTACTTTCTGAAGTACATTCACAGAGTTAAAATAAGATTCCCTGTGCCAGTATGACGTTGCCGACATCATCAATATGTCTAGATTCCCATTCTTTGAATTTTGAATGCATAATAACTACATCATAACAGCAGTGGGATATAATAGGTTCTTAATCCTACTTTGCCAAGTATTATGAATAATTCCCATAAATCTCTCATTGACTGAATGAAGTTGATTACTAATAAAGATAAATTATGATATTTTGCGATAGTATCTATAATTTTTCACTATCGTCATATTACAATATGTTATTCATAACTTGTCAGTTATTTTTTTGCTAATGAATTCGTTCCTAAATGAAACGGATCTATTTTCTAGCAAAGTTGTAGATTATATCTTGCAACAGCGCCTAATACTTCCAGTCCGTCACACCACACAAAATACTGACAGGCACAACAAGAGGAAGGAGCCATGGGTGTCGGCTTCATTCTGTTCTGACCGATGACGGTAAATTAGGAAGGATACTATCGTTTAATGTAGCTGATAGTGATTCAATATTTTCGTTTAGGATCGAGCTCTATTCGAGATATTTCAATGCATAAATAACGAAGCCATAACCTGTCAGAATGAAGCCAACTACCCTCTGCATTCCTGCTCCGAGTGCATTTTGTGGTAATGTATGTTTTTGTTCACCAGTTTTACTTTTTCTATTTTGTTCATTCGTTTTTCATTCGTTAGCTATTCGCTAGCTATATTCTTCACCATCAGCTATTTTCAGACTAGATTCAGAATGTACGTCACGTATGTACGCCCCGAAGTTTAGAAATTGCTTTAATTTGAAAATGAAAACGACTTGGACTTTATCGGTCGCCATTCTGTACAGCGTGGATATAAAACTGGAGAGTTCTGAACTTATTTTATGAAAATTCATCTGAAGGAAACTTCCCCATTGTATAATCTGAGAACAACTCCTTACAGCCTGACGGCCTCATTCATCGACGACACAATCGAGAACGATTCATTGAATTCCTCTCAACTCACCCCGTTGAAAAGGCTGAATTTGTCCCTACCCGACCCTAAAGTAGAAGAAGAAGACAAAGACATGTTCGACGACAGCGCGGCTAGCGTGGAAGAAAACGAGAAATCACAGGAAGAAAATGTGAAATCAGAAGAGAAGGATTCGTCGCTTGCGAAGGTGGAACAGAGCCGGAGCGAGGATGCGAAAGAAGTGGAAGAGGTGGTGATGGCTTGCGATTCGCCTACTCCTAAGAAACTGAAGCGGAGGAATATCGAGATGTATCAGAATGATGAATGAAAACTAATAAAAGTAATGAAGGAATTTGAATTTGACTGCTTCTTTTTCAACACAGGCACATTCATTTTGATATTGATTATTGGAACAACTATTTTATTTGACAAATATTTGCTAAGTAGTTGAAACAATCAATGATATACTCAATGGGTGTTTCACTTAATTGACCATCTGCGGCACGTGACCAAGTGGGCGTGTCCATCTCGCCTGGAGGGTAAACAAAAAATTTGGCTCTATTACATTCTCATTGAAATTGTGTTTGTTTGAGTTTGAGGAAGTCTAATCTTGTGTCTTGAAAGCGTTTTGAAGTGCTATTACTTCTTTATGGAAGGACTATGATGAGTACATTGAGTGAGGAATTTAAAAGGTTGGACAAAATAAATGCTAAAAGATATATGAAAAAAAAAAAAAAACGCGTGCACTGGATATGAGGATCCATATTGCGTAAACAATTATTCCACGAAAATTGATGATTTGCCACCAGTTTTATATCCAGATATTGTAAATTATCTAGTATTTGGAAGTGTGTTCAGTATGGAGCAACTGAAAGCATATAAGGGTTTAGATTCTTACAGAACTGCATCATGAGGTTGGGTGAGAGACCTCCGCTCCAAACGTGTTGGTGAACACATCGTGGTTTTGGGAAAGGTAAAGTTAACACACAATTATTTATTCATATTGACTGTAATTATTATTTTTGTAGGTCCTGCATTCACAGAAACTGAATCAAAAATGTGTAAGTAGTGGTACTGTGAAGAATGCACATTGTGACTGTGTTGCTGGTTTAGGAGAAACTTGCACACATGTTTCAGCTATATTATTCTCCATTGATAATTTGGTTCGTCCAACATCATCTGTGGAATCGAAATCTGTAACAGATGTGAAAGCTTATTGGGTAGCTCCAAGTAGTAAACCTTCTGCGCCCAGCAAAGTTTTTGACATTGATTTCACAAAACCAGGTTCAAGCAAATCACAATTGGAAGCACATAAAGAAAATGCTAGCTTGAACCAACAAGAGATTGTACAATTTTTACAAACAATAAAAGATTCTACAAAAAGGGGTAGTGCTCTCCACTCAATTGGCTAAGGTGTTTTCTGCTCTGTTTTAACTGTTATTGTCTAGAATTGAGGAAATCCTAAAAAATCTGACACTGTCTGAGTGTCTCTCATTCCAGTACTGCCGCAAATCACTGCCATACAAAAATTCAGCATATTATTCGGTTAGAATCTGTAGATGTAAATGGTAGGCCTTCAAAATCAGAAGATTTGAATCACAGGTAAATACATCAAATTCAATATGTATGAAGTATATCTGCAGTAGCTTCAGTAGAAGTTCAACACGAATATCAGGATACAAATAACAAACACTAATGACAACTTATTCATCAGTAACAAAGCAGTAAAATGAAAGCAAAAATAATTATGAACTCATGAATATATAGAATACCTCCACACGGTTTGTTTACCCTCCAAGCGTTCGACCTTCAACGTTGTTTATATTGAGATCATTGCCTTCAACGTTGTGACGTCAGCCGCAGATGGTCAATTGTGAATCATGATCTGTTTCTATTCAACACATATAATTTTTCGCAGAGCACTGAATATAGGGGGTCCTGTAATATTTGCGAAAAACCTCCGGAATTTCTTGTCACCCCTTGTGAAACTATTTTTCTATATCATTTTCTTTCATAGATGAAATTTTATTCTTCGGGAATAAATCAGTTAGAAGGATGCCGTAACTAATTAGTCATCAGAATAATGAATCAAGCCAGCCATTCATCAGTCGCATACTAGAGATTTCGTTGTGTACGGTCGATTCAATTGGTCGAGAAACGGTTCGGTTCATTGTACCAGTATATATCACCTCTGATGAAGCTACTGTGTTAGCGAAACATGTCGTGTGTTTGAGAATTTTGTGGAAATCTTACTGTTTGTGAAGTTTTCATATTTAAATAAGGAGTTTCTACCTTTATATTCTTAGCTTGCATGCCATCATTTCAATACAAACACAAACAACAAGTACAAACACTGATGTAATAATAATGTGTAAGTATGAAAAAAATGTATAAACTTGAAATATTTCAACATGAGAAATTTTTGTTCACAAATAAAAGTGAAACTTGCTGAAATACGAAAAAAAATTATGGTTAGAATAGAGAATGAATAACTTTTAGTTTCGAAAATCAAAATAGAGGACACTAGCATACTGGAAACCGAGCTGAAAACATTGTCGATAAAGGCGATTTTTGCATATTTTCTCTATTAAACAGATAATATTATTTGGTTTTTATTTAAAACCACAATGGCTAGTGCTACGCCCATGTATAGCACTCAAAAGTTTGTTGTTGAAAAAACTCAAATTTCAACGAAATTCAATTTTTATTGTACACCTATTACATATGAGCATAAAAACGTGAAAAAAATCCACTAAACACAAAACAGTACAATGATGTCTACTTTGAACTCAATAGTACCAGTGCTCTCATTCCCAAAATTTGTGACTACTGCTTTAAACTTATCCTCATATTCAATAACTTCTATTCTGTAGTCTATTTTCATAGAGGCATTTTTTCTGGAAGATTCTTTGTCATTTCTGACATATACCAGGAGAGTATTCAGATCCTTGATAACATTATAAAGCTTCTCCAGCATCTTCATTGAATGTTGATAATAACTCAACATCTTTGAACTCTGCCTTGCTATCCAGTAGTGGGCAGTGATATTATCAATAAGAACTAGATTGACATTTTCATTACTATAAATAAACTTCTGCAGACTCAGGATGGTTATTTCCAACTCTTCAGGTCCATAACAGTTGTAAATGGTGAGATTCTTCAATGAATCCTCTATTATACCCTTCCTGCCCTCTTTCACATTTTTATAATTCAGATGTGTTTCAATCACCTTGATGATTTTGAAGAGATTGATTTGAAATTCTGTGTTGATGAAAACAGCTCCTGACCCCTTCCATTCACTGCAATACTCAGTAGGCAGTATACATTTCACTAATAAATCTATCAGCAAATCATCTTTGCAGACATTGGGGTGTCCTGTGATTTCCACAATTTGGTTTGGATAGGGGCCTTCTGGGAAAATGTGGGGATTGATGCCTTCTAAGAAGGTTTTCTGGTTCAGTCTTGAGAATAATTGAACACCTGATTCAATTGAAGTCATTATATTGTTTCTTAATACACTTCACTTTGAACAACACTTAATAATACTATACACAACATATTATAAAAATAATATATTGTTCATTGATTATATTTGTAAATTCTCACACACTTTCTTTGAAATGAAATTTATTTTGTTTACAAATGCCACAGAACAATTGACAAACATCTGTTTGACATTTGACATAACCTCTAGTTCTGTATCTAGACAAATGGTATCACCCTGTATATATAAATATAGGTATACAAAATTCCATTCTATTTTTGAATCACTTGATGATTTGAGATTTGATTCATTTGAGCTAGAGTATTTGAGAAAGTGATTATCACAGACAATAAGGAATCAGAGTTCTAGCAAAATCTGGTCTCTGGATTGAAAAAAAAGGTATATTATAATGCTTAGTACTGAATTTCAATAAAATACCCAAGAAATTGCTAATGATATCACTATTTTCCAAGGTTATGAGCCCTGAAGAGGAGTAAGTAAAGATTCATATAATAACAATATTTCAGAAGGTATGTTATTCACAATGAATTCAAGTATAAAAGCTTGTTCATATGATATAGGTAGGTACAGAACCTATTTTACTTTTGAAATGATGTTGTTAAGCTCACACTTACTCAGAATCCAGTGATGACAGTCAATATATCTGCAGGCAGAAATAAAGATGCACATCTGAAGGCTCGCAATGGACGATACTCGAATTATCTAGAAAAGAAGGTATAAGAACATGGTAGGAAGGAATCGGGAGGAATGTTAATTAATGACAGATAAATACCTGTTTGTGCAATCTAACACTACATTGAAAATCAAGAATATTCATTATCTTCCTACCTGAGCAATATGATGGGGACTCTTTAATCTATGACCACATTATTATATAAATTGTTCAAGAACTAAAAACACTGAAAACCGTTATGGGCCAAGCGGTGAAATCACAGCCAACAAACAAAGCTGAATTCAAAAATGAAATGATGAAATCATGATCTTCTTCTGATTTTTGGAATAGTCAGAACCTTTACGTCTGGACTGTTCAACAACAAGACACTGCCATTGCAGTGGTGTGTTCTGTCATTTTATTATGCTATGGGCTAATTAAAAATAGGAATTCGAAATGAGAATTTGTCATTTGTCATGCCCAAATCAGAAAATGAAAAGTAACGTGAAAACCTTAACCCCTTGGTAAGGTGAGAATTCGGCAAATAATAATGCTGAATAGTGTTAACCCCGTTGAAAAATGATAATACACATCTGAAATCCGAGTTTTGCATGAATATTCATCGACATGGACTTCGAAGACTTGGTAAGCTGAATCCTCCAACTCGATAGCCCCATTCTTATCAATCAAACGTGCATTTCAATGTATTAACTCTTTCAAAACTTATATAATTGGAATCATTATTACTGGCACAAATTACATTTCTTATTTACTTCACAGAGCAGCATAGAGTTCTTGGACTTGAGTGATGTGGATATAAATGAGCAAAATCGAATTAAAACATCTTTGCAGCAGTATGACCCTAGTGTACAATTGCCTTGGATTAAGCGCAATAAAAAAGTACCTTCCATAGGTAGTGCTCTCTCATACTACTGTTATAGTTGTTGATTAATATATTTATCTTTTGCAGGTCAACATTCACAAAATGAAGAAGAATCAATTGAAAACATTGATGACATACTTATAAACCCTCCAATCCATCACAACCCTTATGTGCAACACACAGTAATGTCTCCCACACTGTACTACAACCATCAACAGCCCCAAGTTGTAGTCCAACCAATCCTAACTTATTCACATCATCCAACAAATGTGGTCTATTATGCCAACCCAGGAGCCCCCATGTCTCCTCCTTACCCACATGTTTTTGTACCACACCAAACAAACACTTATCCTTATCCTACTGTACCATCTCAACTTGCCCCTGTTGAAAATTTTGATGTTGAAACCCAGCCAAATGGGGACATTGATACTCGAGTTGATACTGTAAATATTAACACAGTAGTTGTTGAAAATGAAGCTCCTACCCCTGCAACAAATTCTGATGTGGTTCCAAATGGTGAATCTAACATTAGTAATGTCAGTAGTCCTGCTCCAGCAAATAAGTCTTGGGCTAGCCTTTTTAATTCCAGTAAGTCAAATAGTGTGCCTGTTTCTCCTGCAAATGGAAGTGCACATAATTATTCAGACCCGGCTGTGAATAATGAATCCAATAATAATGTGTCACTATGTCCAATCAAGCATCCCAGAAGATCACAGCAATTTGTTGATCCAGATTGCTACAGAATGGGAGGTAAGTCTGTCTGCTTATTCATATCCAAAAATATGTATGTAAACAGTTTCAGTTTTATTTGTATCTTTTCCTTTTTTTTTTAGAATATTTAACTCTGTATAACTTGGAGGGGAAATCTCTGAGTTTACAACCAAGGGGTTTGCTGAATCAGAGCAACTACTGTTATATTAACTCAATATTACAAGCACTGATTGCTTGTCCACCATTGTTCAATCTTTTATCTGGTCTTGCTAAGAATATTTCCTCAAATGAGAAAAGGAAGCCCACTCCTGTCATTGATGGCATGTATGTATTTTCTGCTGTAGCTAGAACCTATAACTAGAGAGAGAAATATGCCTCTGTGAGAGAGAGAGATATGTCTGAGATAGACATGTGAGGAAGAGGTAACAGACATGATAGAAAGTAATGTGAAGGAGATAGGCAATTGAGAGAGATACATTATGTGAAAGAGAAATGTGTGTGTATGTGAGAGAGAGACATACAGGGTGACATTTTGAAAACTTCCCACCCTCAATATCTTCTTTCCAGTAAAAGATATTAAATAAATCAAAAGTAAAAAAACTTTTTAATAAAAAGCTTTTATTTAAACCCTCTAAAAAGAAAAAAATAACATTTTTCTTGATAATTTCAACTATCAACTTATAACCTCATTATACATAATTTATATGATCATAAAAGTTTGTCACTCCATTCACTTGTGTGAATGAACTAGTACTTATTTAATTATGTAAAATATGATGAAATAAAATTTTTAAAATTACAATTTAATCAAATATTGATCATGGTGACAAGCTTTTATGATCATATAAATTGTGTATAATGAGGTTATAAGTTGATAGTTGAAATTATTAGGAAAAATTTTATTATATTGTTTCTAGAGCTTTTAAATAAAAGCTTTTTATTAAAAAGTTTTTTTTACTTTTGATTTATTTTTTAATTTTTAGTTATCACTAGCTAGATTTTTCGATATACTCTCAATGAGTCTTTTCATTTGATATTGTAGAAGTATATTGAAAATGACCATTCCGCCATCTTGGATGGTCCGCCATAATGGATTTAGAATGACATCACATCATTTTTCGAGTTACTCTCAACAAGCCTTTCCATTTGATACCCATATTGAAAAAGTATATCAAAAATAACTATTCCGCCATCTTGGATGGTCCGCCATATTGGATTTAGAATAACGTCACATTATTTCTGCAATTACTCTCAACGAGCCTTTCCATTTGATACCCATATTGTAAAAGTATATCAAAAATAACTATTCCGCCATCTTGGATGGTCCGCCATATTGGATTTAAAATAACGTCACATTATTTTTCGAATTAATTCCAAGGAGCCCTTTCATTTGATACCCATATTGTAGAAGTAGATTGAAAATGACCATTGCAGTATGGAAATATTTCCCACTATTTATACACTCCTGCAGATAATTTTTGTTATGCCGGTGAGTGTGGCAAGTGCTGAAAGATCATTTTCTATACAATTAAGTATGACACTGAAATCATGTTAGAGGTGTACAATGGGTCAGGCTAGTCAGATCAACTTTATATTGAATATTGAAATATACAGTCTGTCCAAGATAAGGTTGAACAGCATTGGGATCTCGGAAACGGTAGGAGATACGAAGTCGCTTAAATGGGGAAAAAGTTGCGCATTCGGAGGCTCATATCAAGAGCCTTCGAAAATTTTGAAAATTATTCTTAGTTTTTGAGTTATATCGAAAAAAGTGAATTTTTGGAATTTCTATTTTATTTTTTTTCTCCGTTATTATCAGAGATACAGAAAAACTGAAAATACTTTTTCATTGCAACTTTTGATGAGGTTTAACGTGGTGATACCGATTTTTTTATGCGACGTTTCGTATTCGTGGAACCATCATCAACTTTGTTTTTTTAAATACGGTCCTGATAATTTCTTCACAGATTCTGAAAGGTTTTTTTATTCTGAATTCAAGGTGATTCGAATGTGTTTCGACCTATTTCTATCCATCATCAATGTTTTTTCGAACTTCCAAAAGAAAAAAAGCCATCAGTTCCACTTATTTCTTATCATTTAGTGTCAAACTTGATGGATTAGTTATTCAATACTGAAAAGTGAATAAAAAATATTTCACTACATCATTCGATCAATGCAGCGTTTAAAATTGTTGATGAATTCTTACACGAATTACTTTAACAACTTAACTTTGACAATACCTACAGAGACATTCATAACAAATGTTCAAAATGATAACCATTATTTTCTGAACAAAGATATCCTCTTCTCACAGTTGTTTCTAAGACATTGCTAAGCATTTCTGGGGTTATTCTATTGAATGCTTCGAAGACACTGTCCCTTAGTTCTTCTTCATCCTCAAAGTTATTTGCGTGTACAAAGTTCGATATATCCCCTAAGAAAAAATCCAGCTGTGTCAAATCAGGCGACTGCGCCGGCCAAGGGATAAAAACGCACGGACTTCTCTGGAATTATGTACCGGAGCGCCATCTTGTTGAAACCAACAGAGTTCTGAACTTCCGCAATCGGTAAATCATCCAGAGCTTCCTCAAGATGATTCTCAAGCGAATTTCTATAACGTTCGGAAGTCTGTGTTTCATGGTAAATAGAACGAACAATAATTCGTGTACCAAATATTGCAACCCACATATTAAAGCCGAAACGGTGTTGGTGTCTCGCTGTAATGTATAAATGTTCATTTTCTCGTGAACAATAATGTGTATTTTTTCTATCGAAGCTACCATGATTAGTGACCATGCTTTCATCAGTCCAGATGATTGTTTGAAAGAAATCTGCAAAATTTTAACATTTCCTGGTATACCACTCACAGGATGTCTTGCGCCTTTCGTCATCTCCTGGTTTTAGCGCTTGACATATTCTGAATTTGTATGGATGGAATTTTTGTTTCCGCAAAATGAAATGGGTTGTTGATTGAAACCAGTTGATGAGGTATTAGTGTGTTGACTAATTTCCCTTCAAAATAAGTGGAACTGATGGCATTTTTCCTTTGGAGTTTCGAAAAAACATTGATGATGGCCAAAAATAGGTCGAAACACAAATGAACCACCTTGTATAATACATGGTTGAATTCAGAATAAAAAAACCTTTTAGAATCTGTGAAAAAATTATCAGGACCGTATTTAAAAAACAAAAGTTGATGATGGTTCCACGAATACGAAACGTCGCATGAAAAAATCGGTATCACCACGTTGACCGTCATCAAAAGTTGCTATGAAAAAGTATTCTCAGTTTTGCTGTATTTCTAATAATAACGGAGAAAAAAAATAAAATAGAAATTACAAAAATTCACTTTTTTCGATATAACTCATAAACTAAAAATAATTTTCAAAATTTTCGAAGGCTCTTGATATGAGCCTCCGAATGCGCAACTTTTTCCCCATTTAACCGATTTCGTATCTCTTACCGTTTTCGAGATCCCCATGCTGTTCAACCTTATCTTGGACAGACTGTATATAGATGCTGTTATGTTAGGTTTTCCTCGAGGTTTTCAAAGCAATGAAAAAGACTTTGGTTTATAATCTAGTCACGGGGGTACCTGATATTTTGTTAATTAGATTTAATCAAGAGTTTTGAATGATAAGTTACCTAGTTTATATTATCTAATGGTGAAATTGGGAGATTATTTCTTTTTTTTTTTCATCTAGTTCATATAATACGCATATAAAATATGTTCATCGGGAATATTTATCTTGATTTTTGTTCATTTGAATGACTGATAATTGTTATTTTGGTAATTTTGAATATTCTAAGATATAAAAACAGCTTTAATAAAAGTTGAAGCTAATAAACCATCATTTTGTGTTGATTTATTATACACTGAAACACGTTGTACTACTAGGTAACCCCCAAATTATAATTTAATTTCTGCTACTGAGTACCCCCCCTAGAAAAAAAACATACCTACGCGCCTGATTTTGAAGGGAGTCAAATCTCTTTCCTATGGTACCCTAGTTTATCATTTTCTGTTGAGCAGTTTCCAAAAAATGCCTCAATTAGAAAACTTTCCACCCTTAATATCTTCAATCCAGTAAATAAAATGAAAAATCAAAAAGATAGGTCAATTTCAATGTCAAGGGGGATACTTTAAATGCATATCTTTAGCCCTCCTGGTTCATCCCCCTAGGAAGGGGTAGATGTTACCCTCAGAACCTTATATGAAAAGGGCTTCAAGATGCACATTATTTTAAAGGACATTCAATCCTCTTTCCAACAGTACCCTAGTTTATGAATTTTTGTTGAGCAGTTTCCGAAAAATGCCGTTCTAAACTTACAGAAGTAATTGGAACATGCCTGCACTGAAATGCATTCAAAATCTTCATACCATGACTGAAAGGGTCAATACAATCAAACCAACCTGAAAACCATGCATATAAGTCATCAGTGCAGGCATGTTCTAATTACTTCTGTAAGTTTAAAACGGCATTTTTCGGAAACTACTTATCAAAAAATGAAAAATTAGGGTATAGTTAAAAAGTGAATTGAACGCCCTTCAAAATGATGTGCATCTTGACCTCCCTTGTCATATGAGGTTCTAAGGGTAACATTTACCCCTTTTAGGGGGTTGAACTAACAGGGCTAAAAATATGCATTTCAAGTGTCTTTCTTAGAAATGGAATTGACGTGTCTTTTCGATTTTTAATGCCATTTACTGAAAGGAAGATATGGAAAGTTTTCTATGTGACATGACATTTTTTGGAAACTGCTGGACAGAAAATGATTAACTAGGGTACCGATTAGGAAAAGAGAGATCAAAGAGATGTGTATTAGAGAAAGATAAATGTGCATGTGAGAAGGATGTAGAGATGCAATCAGAGAGGTTTTCGTTCACGAACACATTTTTTGACGATGACAGGTGTCGATTAGTCAAAGAATTCAAACATCTGCCGCCTGCTGCGAAACCTGAAGACAGACGTTCAGACGCTGGCGTGATGATCAACACTGATTTACCCTTTGAACCGATGTTAATCTACAAAATGCTGAACGGCATCTGGACTGATTTGAATCTATACATATTTTTGTCGTAGATCCAAAAACGTTGCCTACTTTGCCCGTCAACATTGAAAAATGGCCTAATTTTTCATTTAAATTCATCTAGGCGTACGTAAAATATCAAGAGGATTCCGAATCTATACATAATTTTGTCCTAACACAAAGTATAAAAAAGTTGCATATTTTTCTCATCAAATTGCAAGAATTGCACTATTTTAAAAACCAACATGTGAGTGAGAGTGATGTGAGGAGTTTTGTCTGAGAGATTTGATAGGAAGATGTGAAAGGCAAAAGTGAGAGAGATTAAATGAATATATTAGAAAAAGAGAGATCTAAGAGAGATGTGTATAAGAGAAAGAGAAATGTGCATGTGAGAAGGAGAGAAAGATGCAATCAAAGAGGTTTTCGTTCACGAACACGTTTTTTGACGATGACAGGTGTCGATTCGTCAAAGAATTCAAACATCTGCCACCGACTATGAAGCCAAAAGACAGACGTTCGTTCGACAAGAACAACAAGAAAGACGCAGGCGTGATGATCAACACCGACTTACCCTTTGAACCGACGTGGATCTACAAAATGCTGAACGGCCTCCGGACGGACTTGATCGAGGGCAGACAAGAGGACGCCGAAGAGTTCCTCGGGTTCTTGTTGAACGGTCTCAACGACGAGATGCTCGAGGTTGGTGGTTTTTGTTGTCTACATGGATGCCGAATATTATGTACCCAATATACCGTGTTTTTGTGTAGTCTTAACAAAGTCAGTTGAGACACGTTTGACTGTTTATTCCGTTGAGAATGGGGAAGTTTTCTAAATTGAGGTTCCTATCTCACTGTGAAGTTTGTAAAAAATTAATATGTATTTTTTATTTTTTCGTAAGATCAAATTTCACTGCAGAAAAAAATAAATGAAAGAGGAACTTGGCTCCTCCACCATTCCTATGACGTACTCTCTGAAAATCCACATTCACACGGAGTTAAAAATAGATTCCCTGTGCCAGTCCGACGTTGCCGACATCATTAATATGTATTTCCGGAAATTGTTCTTTGAAAGCATCATAACAATATCAACAGCAATGGGATATAATAGGTTCTTCAATCTTACTTTGTCAAGTATTATGAATAATTCCCATAAATCTCTCATTGGCTGAATAAAGTTGATTACTAATAAAGATAAATTATGATATTTTGCGATAGTATCTATAATTTTTCACTATCGTTATATTACAATATTATTCATAACTTGTCAGTATTTTTTTTGCTAATGAATTCGTTCCTTAATAAAACGGATCTATTCACTAGGAAAGTTGCAGACTATATCGTGCAACAGCGCACAACACTTTGATTTCGTCCACACCATTCAAAATACTGACAGGCACAACAAGAGGAAGGAGCCATGGGTGTCCGCTTCATTCTGTTCTGACCGATGACAGTAAATTAGGAAGGATAGTATCATCGAATGTTATTGGAGATATTTCAATGCATGAATAACAAAACCATAACCTGTTAGAATGAAGCAAACTACCCGATGCATTCCTGCTCCGAGTGCATTTGTGGTCATGTATGTTTTTGTTTACCAGTTTCACTTCTTCTATTTTTTTCGATCGCTTTTCATTCGTTAGCGATTCGTTAGCTATTCGCTAGCTATATTCATCACCATCAGTAATTTTCAAACTAGATTCAGAATGTACGTCACCGTTTGCCCCCGAAATTTAGAAATTGCTTCAATCTGAAAATTAAAACGACTCATCGGTCGCCATTTTATGAAAATTCATCTGAAGGAAACTTCCCCATTTTATATAGGGCAGTTCAATTCTTCATTTTTCTCACCTCTCGTTTCAAACTAGAGATATAATTCGTTTCAACCGTTTCTGTATGAACAATTTGTAAATTTTTTGAAAACAGCTCTTATACAAGGTGATTCTAAAATAGGTGGTCAAACTTTGGGAGTGTATAGAGTGAGTGAAATAATTACGAAAACCTCGGTAATATTTTTTTCTGAAGTGCCCCCCAAGAAAGATACAGCCCCTCAAAAGGGGGCCTCGGAGAATGATTTTGTACTATTATCTCCAATACCTTGTATGATGAAAATCTAAAATTTAGTTTATCCACTAACTATTCAGTGCCGGTTCGAATGGAGTTAAAATCACCTCAAAATTAAATACAGGGGTGTGTCAAAACAGGGAGGTAGGGGGTAAAAATAACCCCAACTTTTTTGTTCATCGCAATTTCAGTTTTTTTACATGAAATTATGAAATCTCAGAGCTATCAACATAGAAAAGGAGCTCTTGTTGGATCTCGAAAAACTGAACCATTAGCGAATAAAATTTATTTTTCCAAGATTTCATTTAAATTGCAATTTTGGTATGCACTTGAGTTTAATTATCTAGTTCAAATCTTGCAACTGAATTTTCACCTACATCTAATCGTCTGATCAACTTGGAATCTGGCAGATGAAAGTTGACAACGCGTTATGGACTTTTTGATAGAAAAAAAATATGGCGGCTCCAATGTGGCTGACCAGATTTGTGATTATGGTTCGATTCGATTCAAAATTGGTTTGTTAGGGTTTTTGGGGTTGGAAATTTTGAATTCATTGTCGGAATTGATGAATTAACAATAGACGACGAGTTTCGTGATTATGGTCTGATCCTATTGAAAATACTAAAATGAAAAATATTGTTAATAACAAGCTTTTTCAAATTTTATTTGCTAATAGTTAATTTTATCGAGATGCAACAAGAGCACCTTTTTCATGTAAATAGCTCTGAGATTTCATAATTTCATGTCAAAAAACTGAAATTGCGATGAACAAAAAAGTTGGGGTTATTTTTACCCCCTACCTTCCTATTTTGAGACACCCCTGTATTTTATTTTCAGGTGATTTCAACCCCATTCGAACCGGCACTGAATAGTAAGCGGATAGACAAAATTTCAGATTTCCATTATACAAGGTGTTGGAGATAATAATACAAAATCATTCTCCGAGGCCCCCGTTTGAGGGGCTGTATCTTTCTTGGGAGTCACTTCAGAAAAAAATGTTACGGAGGTTTTCGTAATTATTTCAACCACTCTATATGCTCCCAAAATTCGACCACCTATTTTAGAATCACCGTGTATAATGTGATACTAAAACAAAATATTTATCTCCACCACTGTTGGAGGCTGATTCTTGAATGATTTTTCTTTTTGGTATCTCAACTGATTTTGCAAAGGAAATATTATCCAATTGAAAATATAGTAACATATCAAGAGAGTTCTGAATAATGATTGATAACTGTTTGTAGTCAAACAATTTCTGTTCACATCAGTACTTATGATTGGTAAATTTCAACCGTTTGAATGAAACTGTGACTTGATTTGTGATTTTAAAATATCGAAACCATTTAGGAAATAAAAATGACAACATTTTTTTTTAATACCTGTCTAACTTTGGTCAAAATCACATTACTAATAACTGGAGAAGACTAGGAAGGGATATTTAAAATCACGACATGCTTTATGAGGTTTATGTAAGTTGTTAAGAATTATTCAGTGGGTTTGTTTCCACCAAAATGAGTTGAAATAATGCAAATTAAAATGAAAATTATGATAAAAAGAGGAGAAAACAGCAAATTATCTACTTTATTCTCAAACACACCAGGAGAAATTTTCATTATACTGCTCCATGTATGTACCATGTTATAATATTCCTTCAAAATAAAACCAATTTTTTAAAGAAACTGATTTCAAATTTCATAGATACATTCTCAAATTGGGGATTAATACACTATTTTGCATTCACAGTCTTAGGTAAATCAGCCATATTGAATGAACATTTCTTTCAGCTCATGAAGTTGGTAAAAAACGATACCGACGACCCCCAAATCAATCATGCAGAAATCGACGCTGATGACGAGTGGCAGGTAATTCAACTATATTTACATTAGTCTCGAAAATCAAATGAGCACTTCTAGATTTATCAAACCGATTATATGCCATATGTTCTTTGAATCGTGTGTATTTGCTTCGGCGTGTTTGCCCAATATATTTCATGTTACAATTCATTTCATGAATACCTTACTTATCATTAGGAGATCAATCATCATTAGAAGTCAGCCTATCTTTATTTGCTGTTCAGTTTAACTGAGGATTCCAACTTAAATGACCAAATACATATTCATCCTTTTTCAAATACTTGTGGTATATTTTTATATAACATTAACCACAACTTGAAAATCATCTTCCTTCGTGAATTCGATGATGTATCACAGTCAGCACTCGTGATTTTATCAAAAAGTTTTGTTATGGAAAATCAAAATCGATCTATAAAATCTGAAAGACTCCTGGTATTACCTCCGATTAATTTTTCTTCTCTTTGAGCTTTCCTTATTATTGTTATTCAATGAATTCTTTTCAGGTTATGGGTTCGAAAAATAAAGGTAGCGTCACAAGGAGGACGGACTTCGAGAAAACCCCGATTCGTGATATTTTTGGCGGGCTTCTGAGATCCAAAATCGTTCGATCCGGTGATCTCTCCACGGAGAATATCCAACCGTTTTTAACTTTGCAGCTTAATATCGAAGTGAGTGAACATTTAGAATCATATGACGTGAAAATTCCACCCATCAACATTATTAAAATAAGTTGACTTATTAATCAATATTGGAAGTTTTTTTTGAAAATTTATTGATGAAATCACCATTTCAAATTAGGTTTAGTAATTTTGCAATATAAACTCATTCTCATCTCATCTAATTCTCATAGATTCTTTTTGAGCCTCAAAGTTGATTTTATATTTGAATAATTGTGAATAAAGTACAGTAATCCTACTTAATAATCAATCAACCAATTTTCGTTAGAAAGCGAAAACTGTGAGGGAGGCCCTCGAGGCCCTAGTGAACAAGAACCAGCTGGAAGGGCTGACTTCTTCCAAGACCAACGAGCAAGTCGAAGCTTGGCAGCAAGTGATGCTCGACGAGTTGCCAGTAATTCTCATCTTGCACCTGAAGTGCTTCGATTTCCAGCACGACGGGTGCACGAAAATCATCAAGGCTCTGGAGGTTCCCGTCGACCTCAAAATCGATTCCAGTAAGTTGTTTGAGTAATCTGATAGACTATTTTGTTTTATTCCTTATATAGAATCATTACACGATTAACTTTCAATTCCATATTTTTTCGGTCCATTTTAAGGTGCTAAAATCATCCCTAATTCCACGGTAATTTTCAAAGGGCTAACAATTTACCGCAAATAAAAACTTACTTCACGATTTCGTAAGTTGAGTTGCCATAATATGTTGAAATACGAATGGAAACTTCAGAAATATTAGTTATTCAATAGTTCATAAATTCTCGATTATGTATTGATGAAATTCCTGATTAGCAATAAAAAATCCATTATCCCGCAAATTTCCCTCATTTGTTGTGGCTTATTGCTTATGACAAATATATTGATTCACACTAGAAGACATGTGGACTGGTCAACATGACAACAAGGCGCACGGATTGTGGACGTTGTCTTGTCAGTTCTCAGCATTCAGCACATGTTGCCAATTCTTTAACATTTACATGCTCTTTATGGAGTATAAGAAATATTTGGACATGCTGGTTGCTCAAAAAAGTAAAAAATGATTTATAATATCATGGGTTCCTCACATTATGTTTTATGAGAACTAGGGCATTAGTTAAATATCTGGTGCACTTAGATCAAAAACTAATGCAGAATATATTCAAAGTTTATTTGTAGATGTTTTTATGCAAGAAGGGCTGCCATGCCGCATCAGTGCTTGATTGGAATATTTTGTCTCCTGAATATATTTCAAAAAAATTGAGTAATTCGCAAATTTTGTTGACTGAACCTATATTCCACGCCGACCGCTTCATGTTGTCTTTCCAATATAGCAAGATAAGATGAAAATTCGAATAAATTGAATCAATTTTTGCAGTTAGAAAGAGCTCACTTGGAACGTTCGTGTACTGTCAGTTCCCGGTTTTTTCATCTATTCATTCATGGTGACATCTGACTGTCACTGGTTGTCGAGTGTCCATACTCTGAATATTCAAAAACGTCAAAAAAAAGGTGCAAGTAACGAATCGTGATCTGGTGGACAATCTAAACATGTTAGTAGTTTTACGGATTTTTCATATCGCGTGCACAACCTCACTTTTCTGTTAAACACTTGAACAACCTCACTTTTCAAGGATTGAAATAGTTTTTCACAATATTTTGGCATACGAATCATGGTTTTTGGGCTATTCATTGGTTCAAGCAAGCCATAGAATTGTGCTGTTTTACAATGCACAAAATATGCAGCAAGCGACGAAGGAATATGATTTTTCAGGTAAATGGTGATCTCACATAGTTTTCATTATGAAATTTTGTCATTTCTCATTCGGATTCCTTCTGCCACTTCTGCAATAGAAGCTAATTCCTATTAGCTCCTATTACAAAAGGAATTCCAATGAGAAATAACAAAATTTCAAAAAAAAAACCTATATGTGTGAGTTACTGGTACCAGAGCTGGTACTCTTAAATCACAATGTACTTACCTGAAAAATACCGGATTTCTTCGTCTCTCGCTGAATTTTTTGTGCATTGTACAACAGCACAATGTTATGGCATGCTTGAATTAATGAATAGCGACAAACACTATTCATATGCCAAATTAATTGTGAAAATCTATTTCAATATTGCGAATTCAACTGACAGTACTGAATCTGCTTACTTTTATTCCGAAATCAGACTGAAAAATCAGCAGATTCAGTACTGTCAGTTGAAATCGAGATAAAGCCAATATTCATTCCGAATTTTTCGATTCATTATTCAGCTGAAAATATTGACTATCCAAAGGTAGTGTGGCTTCATTGAACTGTCACTATTTGACAGTAGGAAGTAATTTCACATATTTATTTCCGTTGTTTTTTAAACATTTAGTATTGTCTTATGGATAATAATTTGATAATATCTGTATTTTTGATTTAATATTTCGGAACACAGAATTCCAGCAGAGTCAGTGAATTTACTGACAGTACTGACCAGTTGAATTCATAATATTGATCGCGTGCACGATGACCGACCCTGGAGGTAAAATATTGAAACATAATCTCACTCTTCTGTGAAACATTGAAACACAACCTCATTTTTTTTGTCTACAGAGGAATAAAAGGATTGAAATAGTTTTTCACAATATTTTGTCATACGAATCGTGTTTTTTGCGCTATTCATCAATTTAAGCATGCCTTCTCATTGTGCTGTTGTACAATGCACAAAAAATGCAGCGAGAGACGAAGGAATATGATTCTTCAGGTAAATAGTTTTCTTATTGAAATTCCTTCTTTCACTTCTGCAAAAGAAGCTAATACTGCTAAGAGATTGAATATGACTACAACACACACGATCATATTTCGTCAGCATGTCAGGCCAGTCCTCCCGTTTGATTGCATGAATCCCATCTTCTTGCATCATTTCAGAAATTTCACGAGTATTTCTATTAGTTCCTATTGCGGAAGGAGTTCCGATGAGAAATCAGAGAAATTACCAAATTTCAAAAATGAAAACTATATGTGAGTGACTACAGTAGGTACTTACTTTCAAATCATAATGTACCAACCGGATTCCTTCGTCTCCCGCTGCATTTTTTGTGCATTGTACAACAGCACAATGTGATGGCATGCGCGAATTAATGCCGAAAAACACGATTCGTATGCCATAATAATTGTGAAAAACTATTTCAATCACTTGTAAACAAATAAGAAAAGTGAGGTTGTGTTTCAATGTTTCATCTCCAGGGTCGGTCATCTGACAGTTCTTGCACGCAACCCATAGCCTGAACGAATAAGAAAAGTGAGGTTTTGTTTCAATGTTCACCTCCAAGGTCGGTCATTTGACGCAACCCATATTAAAACTTCAAAAAACATCAAATCCAATCTGAGGGAACAACTAACGAATCACGTCTTCTTCTGTTGTCTCAGAGTTGATATCGTCATCGAAGACGCAAACCCCCAAAGAACGGCAATACAAGTTGTTCGCTGTGGTGTACCACGACGGCAAAGAGGCCACCAAAGGGCACTACATCACCGACGCCTTCCACGTCGGCTACGGCTGCTGGCTGCGCTACGACGACGCCTCCGTCAAGACGGTGCTGGAAGAACAGGTGAGTTTTTTTATCCCTTGGAGCGCACGAAACGGAATCCCTATTATATTTGAAGATAATCGTGCGGCGTAGCTAGGGAGGATAGGTAGAGAAGGTAAAAACACTTTCTCAATTCTTTGATATGATGTTTAAACTTATCAGTCATCTTTTTAAAAAAAGAGCTACAAATATTCCCGATTCTGCTAACCCGTTGACGAAAATCATCTAGGATAGTACCATGGTTTATTGTTTTATGGCACTGTCTACACGACCGCAGCGGCGGTTGGATACTGAAACATAAACAATCACCGGCGGTTACCTTTTTTATACAGGGTGGCATTGAAATAAGTACAAATATTTCAAACACTGAGAAAGCTCGACGTGTACTATCGAATGGCACTAATGAAAAAAAATCAGGGATCAAAATGAAATTTGAGGTTAGACCCCTTCTCCATGACATCGTGTTTTAAACTATATTTATTTATTTATTTATTTATTTATTGAACAAATAACTTCCAGACAGAATAGGCTCTGGTATAAGGAAGTACATAATTATATACCTATAGGTAAACATATCATTATACAAAATATATCAGCAACTGTAAATTGACAAACAAAGAATAATATTTGTAAAAAAAAATGGCATGTTCAATTTTATCCAGTTCGCTCAGAAATAATCAATTTTTTCACTCCATTTTTGAATGAACCTATGTTTCTGCAATTTTTTATATTGTCAGGTAGTTTATTGAATTCAGTTAAGGCTGAATGAGTGAATCTTTTTTGTCCGATAATGGAGCTAGCGGCGTCAAGATGAAACAAGTTATATTGTCTTGTTTCATGATTATGAATTTCAGAATTCCGTATCAACATAAAATTCGACTTCAATTTTTTATTTATGATATTATATGATATTTTGAGAGTTTCAATTCTATAAATTTCATCTAAAGAATACGTATTTGTTATTTCAAACAATTGATTGGTTGGTGTATCAAATGGGAGACGATACAATACTTTTAACGATTTTCTATATAATGTTGATATTTTATTGAAATTGTTCTTCGAACAAGTTCCCCAAACATTTATTAAATAGTTGATACGACTCAGTATATGAGAGTAGAGAATCATGTTTGCAATTTTAATATCAAGTTTGGGACATCTTCTCAATGCACCAATAATTGGAGATATTTTTTTCGTCAGATGTTTGTCCCACTTCAACCTGTCATCAAACCAAATTCCAAGATATTTTATCTGGTCAGTTTGTTTTAAGAGTTCATTTTTCATTTTAAGGTTGAGGTAAATTTTTTGTTTATTTTTTTGGTGAAAAATCAAATATTCTGTTTTTTTAGTATTTATCGATAAAAGGTTAGAGTGGAGCCATTTTTCAAATATTTTCAAGTCTTCATTTATCATATTTTCTAAATTTGAAGGATTCTTGCTTTCATATAAAAGTACTGTATCATCTGCATACATGGTATATTTACTCGTGAGACCAATTTCACTGATATTTTGAACATAAAGTAAATATAGTATAGGTCCTAAAACAGAGCCCTGTGGGACACCCTTATTGATTAATAGTTTATTTGACACAGAGTTGGTTGATTTTGTATTGATTGTCCTATTTTCAAGATATGAATTCAAAATATTTCTCACAGTGCCTCTGAGTCCCATTGTTTCTATACTATCAATTTTCTACTTCTATTCAGTTTGGCCTCAAGTTTGGCTATCTATAAAAGCGTGTTTCATTATAGTTTTTTAAACTACTATTTATTACAAAGCTCTTTCACCATATTGGATCCGCCATCTTGAATTTCCCAATTTTAAAGAATAAAATCATAATCTCCGACCCCGAAAACCCCCAGATATACAGATTTTGAATAGAATCAGATCATAATTACGAAACTCGTTTGCCATATTGGATCCGCCATTTTGAATTCCCTAATTTTGACGGATAAATCATAATCTCCGACCCCGAAAACTACCAATTTTGAATGGAATCTGACCATAAGTACAAAACTCGTCCGCCATATTGAATTTACAAAATTTTACGAAATAATCATGATCTCCGACCCCGAAAACCCCCAAATACCAATTTTGAATGAAATCGGATAACAATACTCGTCCGCTGCACAAAAAATTTCATACGAATCGGTCGAGCCGTTTCGGAGGAGTTCGACCACTAACACCGTGACCGGGACAGGAGAATTTTATATATTAGATACAAGGTACTGATGTATAGAGTTTCATGTCTGATTGTTGGATGTTTTGTGTCCAAAGAGCATGAAACAGAGACAAAGCATTGATAAAGTGAAATAGAATACGTAGAACTGAATGGAGAAAACAATGGCTATATTCCGAATTCAACTGGTCAGTACTGTCAGCAGATCCACTGACTGAAAATATGTGTTCCGAAATTTAAAATCAAAAATACAGTGCTTCAATTCGGAACACGTTTTCATGGTTTTCATCAGTAGTCAGCAGCAGTTGATCAGCTGGTGAAATTTTTCAGTATGTAGTATCTCGTTTATCTGAACTAGATTATTTAGCCTCCTGCTTGACATACATTTTGGAAATATAATATTTAACATGAAAGAACAATCGGTTCTTGTAGCCTCCTTCATAGTTTCTTCGATTGTTGACGATGACGATTCAAGCTCGATTCTTGGACATTTATGTAATATGGCATCAATGATGACGAATTCAGGAAACATTTGAGGTTTATTTAGATATTAATTTTCCCAATGCTGCTTCTTCTTTCGTCACCTCTCTTCTACTTCATACTCTATATAATCTCTATATTATATTCTCAGCGTTTATTATTTCGATAACGGGTATTTTACTATTTTCTGATATCGAAAATAATATAATTAACAACGGAAATAAATGTTACATTCCTTCCCCCTCTGTAATAATGACAGTTTACTGAAGCCACACTACCTTTTGATATTCAGCAATTTCAGCAGAATGTTCAGTCGAAATATTTGGAATGAATAGTATATCTGCTCACAAGCATCTGTCACATTCAGTGATTTTTTTGATTTCGGAATGAAAAATCAGTAGATTCAGTATTGTCAGTTGAATTCGGAATATAGCCAATACAGGTGGATGCACCTCCATATTAAGTACCGACCAATGAAAAAGTGAACAACTATCGTCGTCACTCTATAGGCGATTCATGCTAAGGAGTACTCCCTCTACCGTTGTCTAATATAACTAACGTATGGGCCATTGATTGTTTTGTTTACATTAGTTTGCGTGTATTTTGTATGAGAAGTAGTTGTGTTTTAATTGTCTATAATTTTGTTTGAGAACTTCTATGAACGTTTAAAAACATGAGTCATCATTGTTGTGTACCTCATTGTTCATCTTGAGCAAAAAATTCCCGAGTATAGCTTTCATTCCTTCAAAAATTCAGGACAGTCTAAATTTGTATTTGAAACTAATAATTTGGGAAACAAGGAAGTGATCGGTAGGAGAAAGGTGTGGATTCATAACTTGAAGATTGGAAAAAGTGTCTGAACATAATGAGATATTGTTCTTTACACTTCACTGAAAATTTACTCATACCTATAGGTATATTCTCAAATGTATGTCTATTATGAATATAATACCTACTTCTTGAGGTGATGGTAAAAAAACAAACAAATTTTAAACTGATTATATCTTTACTCATGAACAGTAGAATTTTTAAACAGTAAAGAATGTTATCAATCAGGGTTTCGATGATTATGTTGTAAAAAGTCAGGTAGAAACTGTTTACCTAAATCCACCTTCCAAAGAACACTTTATTCCCAAGAAGTTTGCTGGATTTTGTTTTAAAAATATCATGCACTATCAGGGGAATATCCCAGCTATATATTCGAATTAGAAATCAACATCCCACACAGGTTTTCATGAGAATTATTGTTCAATGATGATAAAAACTTACAGCCTACGCATGAAGTTCAACTAGAGGTAGGGAGGTTATCTAATGTTGAACAGAGATAATATAGTCCTCAATCAAAACACAGTAGACCGCTGGAAAATACAAAGTTCGAAAATAGACAAATAACAAAGCTGGACGTCTGAAAACTCAAAACGAAATGAACATAAACACCATTACCAAACAATGTAAACAATCCGCCAATGGCCCATAGAGTAGTACCGACATTCGCCGTTCTGGCGCTACGATCTTAATCTCAGTCGCCTATTTATAAAGTCACTCTTAATTTGATGTTCTTTTAGCGCGATCTGTTGGTTCGTGATTTTCTCGAACATTTTATTTCTTTGCAGGTTCTAAGGCCGCAGGGTACTCGAGTACCCTACTTGTTATTCTATAGGCGCGGAGATACCATCAGGAGTAAATGAAAGGGTGGAATACATTGGATGGAGCCTTTGTGAGAGTTGATTTTTTTCGACTGGTTTGTGTCGTGGAATTTGTTCCCTTTAAATGGTTTTTTGAGTCGCCGAACAGTAAGTGAGACCGCTTGTGATTCTTCGATTTGTATAGTATCTGTTTATCTCATGTTGAAAAAAATGGCAGTTTTATTGATAATGTATTTTTTATGAGTTCTGTGCAGTCGAAAAACAAGGAAAAAAAAAACAGTGATGGGCATATTAATTTACCCTCATTGATAATAATAATAATAATAATGGAATGAGCGTTTTTATTTGGATATAGCTCATGCCCTTTACTGTAAGACTTTTTTATACTTATGAAACATAAATACAAGCTTTAGGCCCAATCAATTATCATGAACAGCTTTGCAAATGGAACAATATTTCTATAATTTATGGTAATTCAATTATACAAACTAAATTATTTTTCTCCTTCTAAGAACGTAGATAGCCTTGGAAGTAATTCAAATTATGAAAGAGTTTATTCAATTGTTTGCTGTTGTTAATTGAATAATACACTCAAAAATTATTTATCAATGATAATGTGAAGATGTGACAATTATGGCAAAATTAATCAGTTAGTCCTTTTCATCATAAATGACATTTGAAAATTTGGAGTCCTTTTATTTCATTTGATTTATTTATGTTTTGTATTTACACACGTCAAGTTATGATACATCAATTACTGTTACAAAAAATAAAATATATAATAATACAAGATTTTAGACACTGTATTAAGTGTACTTGAAAGTTACGTTAAAATTTGTTTTTTATTAGAAATTATAGTTAAAAAATTCATCAAATGAATAAAACTTGCGTTGATTTGTTGAAATTTTGAAATTCCCAATTTATCACAATAGGAATTGTATTCCTACCTCTAGTCTGAATTTCGTGATTTTCAGCATGAGTCCTATATAAATTTTTATTTTCGTGAACATACAGGGTGGGCCACCAGTAACGCCTCGGTCTCTAGAAGGCTAACCACTTATCTCCTTGGAATTCTTCCTTTTTAGGAAGTTGCATGTCAACATAGGCTACCATTTAAAATTATTTCGAAACATACAGGGTGTCCCCAAAAATCACAAAACACTGAAGTTGAACTTTTTTCAATCGAACACCCTATATATTATTTCATTTTGAGATTCTCCCTGGTGAGCTGATTTCAACAATCCATCATACTTGGGGTCTAGCAGTTATAATTACTGAGATATAGGGTGTGAAAAATCGAGATTTTCCAAGTTCAAGAATTTTTTGTGTCGAAACTATTCATAATTGGTCAAAACGGCTTACATGTCCCCATCTCAACTTTTGATTAACTATCTACTGATATTTAATTGGGACATATACCAGGTGATCAAGATTCTGAATTCTGCACCACCCTGTATTTGTTTCAATTAAATGTCAGTAGATAGTTGATCAAAAGTTGAGATAGGGACATGTGAGCCGTTTTGACCAATTATGAATGGTTTAGACACAAAAAATTCTTGGACATGGAAAATCTCGATTTCTCACACCCTATATCTCAGTAATTATAACTGCCAGACCCCAAGTATGATGAGTCGTTGGAATCAGCTCATCAGGGAGAATCTCAAAATTAAATAATATATAGGGTGTTCGATAGAAAATAGTTCAACTTCAGTGTTTTATGGTTTTTGGGGACACCCTGTATGTTTCGAAATAATTTTAAATGGTAGCCTATGTCGACATGCAACTTCCTAGAGAGGAAGAATTCCAAGAAGATAAGTGGTTAGCCTTCTAGAGACCGAGGCGTTACTGGTGGCCCACCCTGTATATCATTTATCTGTACAATTTACAGAATCGATTGATCCTCATCACTGAGTGATGAAATTCATATTGTTCCATTTGCATTTTGAATGTTTCCCTTTAAAAAAATCACAACGGTTTGATTCGAACAACTTGAGTACCTTGAAAAAATTGTAGTCATAAATATAATATGTTTTTTATTATAAGAAATTCGGCTGCATTGCCAAAATTGAATTGATTTTGTTGTGGCCTTCAGAGCTATTCCTTGTGGGTGTTTGGAAATTTTCGAGTGGGTTATGAAGATTTTGTTAATCGTTTTCGTGTTTTTATAGATTACATGAATCTTGTTGATGTTTTCCGCATCCTGTATATTGAAGATAATTAGGTATCTTATTTTAGGAAAAAACAATTTATACAGTTTGAATTAATTTTTACTTGTATATAATTAATTATGCTAGATTATATTGAATGAAGTGCATGTTATTATAATGATTTTGGAAAAAAGACCAATACAATTTTTATTACTTAGGTAGATATTTCCTTTCTTCAATCCCTGCATAGGTATACAGTGTGTCCCACTTACCATGCTCACCATGGGTATCTTTTTAACGGTGAGAGATACGAGGTCGGTTAAATGACACCAAATGTGGAGTTTGTCAAGGCCAACTATAATGTGAAAAAATATTTTGATAAAATCTATTCGTTTCTGTTTTATATGCAAAAAACAGATTTTGATGATTTTCATGTCTCCTCCATAACTTCTTTATTTATGAAAATATTCAAATAGGAATTTCACATTCTCATGGCAGTTTTTCAAAGTGATTTCGGAAAAAATATGAAATTTATACCAACTCTTCTAGAATTTGAGATATCAGCACCAACTTTAGTGTTTCAAATGTAGGTCATAGCTCACTATGACTTAGTTACAAATAACTTTTTTTTTATCTTACAGATGATATGTGGCAGTAATAGTTTTGTGTTGATAACAACGGAGTTATCGTCATTTATACAGAAACAAAAAATTATTTGGAAGTCGCCATCTTGAATTTATAACTTAACAAAAAAATCATGATAAACATAACTTTCCATTGTATTATATTCTGTATTATTTTTTTATATTGGTGAATAAAGTCGATTATCATTATTATTATTATTATCTCCGTCCTCAAAAACCCCCACTTACCAATTTTGAATGGAATCGGGCCAAATCTTGTCCGCCATCTTGGAGCAGCCATTTTTTTTATTTCAACAAAAATTCCATTATGTATTGTCACCGAAATTATGAACACCTGCCAAATTTTTATTATTAAAGTTATTCGGAGTTATGGAATTTTTGTTGAAATTAAAAAAAAAATGGCTAGTCCAAGATGGCGGACAAGTTTTGATCCGATTCTATTCAAAATTGGTAAGTGGGGGTTTTTGAGGTCGGAGATCATGATTTTTTTGTTGAAATTTATAAATTCAAGATGGCGGCTTCCAAAAAATTTTTTGTTTTTGTATAAATGACGATAACTCCGTTGTTATCAACACAAAACTATTACTGCGACATATCATCTGTAAGAGAAAAAAGTTATTTGTAACTAAGTCATAGTGAGCTATGACCTACATTTGAAAAACTAAAGTTGGTGCTGATATCTCAAATTAAAGAAGAGTTGGTATAAATTTAATATTTTTTTCGAAATCACTTTGAAAAACTGCCATGAGAATGTGGAATTCCTATTTGAATATTTCCATAAATAAAGAAGTTATGAAGGAGACATGAAAATGATCAAAATCTGTTTTTTGCGTATAAAACAAAAACGAATAGATTTTATCAAAATATTTTTTCACATTATAGTTGGCCTTGACAAACTCCAAATTTGGTGTCATTTAACCGACCTCGTATCTCTCACCGTTAAAAAGATACCCATGGTGAGCATGGTAAGTGGGACACACTGTATATCGATTGGAAACTTAAGACTAGAAATGTTATTGTCATCAATAGCACTACCTCCAGTATTTAAACAATCTGATCGCACCATAATTCGCGAGATTCACGAAGTGGGCGACATCTAGGTTACATAATACGAACTTCAAACTGGGGGAAAACAAACTGTTGTCTATGGAAAAAGTGCATAGACTACATTGCATTCAGCTTGCTGTAGCTGTAGTCAAACTTGTCAATGACATAAAGTGTTGGCACTGTTGGTAGTGATGATGGTTGAGTTGGTTAATTTTTTTACATTATTACATTTTTATTAGCTTAGTGAACAGTGAACGGGTGAAGAATTTGAGATAGTTCAAACAATTCAAACTAATTATGACGAGCAAATCAATGGCAGACTTGGGTCGAATACTGAAATCCGGTATTCGAATACGAATCCTGAATACTGTACTCTAAATTGTATTCGAATACCGCTGTATTCGAATACCTGGATTCATTCACATATGAATATTTCATGAATATTCCAACTGAAAAAAAAACATTTGCGCACATAAAGCTCGTTCATATTTATGTATGTAGTTAATTTATAAAAATATATAAAAAATAGAAAATCTATCACAATGAGGTTAAATAAGAAACATTTAATAATTTCTATTTCTTAGTTTTATTTGAAGAATTATTCAAAATGAAACGATATTCAATTTATAAATGAAACTTAAAATAAAGTACTTTGGTACATTGGATAACAGTAAGGTAACACAAAATAATTGTTTAGCAAGATAATAATGGAAAATAATCTCAAATAATAAATAAAACTGAAAATAAAGTACATTCAATTTCAAATAAAACATAGGAATCTCATAAAAACAGACTAGTACTTCAACAGAAAAAAAAACACCCATCAAAAAGAAACATAAAGATTGAGAAAAAAGAAAACAATCTTTCTACTGGAGTAGACGACGGAATCATCGTGAATTCAGAAGCGCCGGAGCCGTCGCAATAAATATAGAAATAATCGAAAAGTATCCGAAAACAGGATTCGAATACCGGGATTCGAATACAGGATTTGGATATCGGGATTCGAATACAGGATTCGAATACCGGGATTCGAATACATAGTATTCGAATACCAGCTAAATGTATTCAGAATAGGATTCAGAATACTGGGTATTCGAATACTACACAAGTCTGATCAATCGACATATAAAAGAACAGCTACAACATGTTTACAACACCCAGATTGTACTCCTTTGCATAAACAAATACAAATCCATTGTTCTAC